CCACCCAGGCACCCCACTCACTCAATCTTCTATGGCCCATGTTCTCCAGAGGGCCACAGCTGTTTTCTTGTGATGATATATAAAGGGCAGAGACCTTGGCTTTTTGGTTTACTCTGCTTGTCACATTCAAAGTGTCACTGAGAATCACTATCCTGAAGAGATACTTGCACCCATGTTCATTGCAACATCATTCACAATAGCTAAAACATGGAAATAGCCTAAGTGTACGTTGATGGATGAATGGAGATATGTATGTATATATATGGTATAATCTATGTATCTATATATCTGTATATATGGTATAATCTATCTATCTACCTATCTATCTATCTATCTATCTAGTGTAATATTAAAAAATAAAATAAAATAAAATCCTGCCTTCTGTGACAACATGGATCGACCTTGAGAGTGTTATGCTAAAGGAAATAAGTCAGATAGAAAAAGACAAAGACCGGGGCGCCTGGGTGGCGCAGTCGGTTAAGCGTCCGACTTCAGCCAGGTCACGATCTCGCGGTCCGTGAGTTCGAGCCCCGCGTCAGGCTCTGGGCTGATGGCTCAGAGCCTGGAGCCTGTTTCCGATTCTGTGTCTCCCTCTCTCTGCCCCTCCCCCGTTCATGCTCTGTCTCTCTCTGTCCCCAAAATAAATAAACGTTGAAAAAAATAAAAAAGAAAAAAAGAAAAAGACAAAGACCATATTATCTCACTTATACGTGGAATCTAGAAAAGCCGAACTCATAGAAATAGACAACAAAATGGTGTTTGCCAGGAGCTGGGCGCAGGGACAGAAGAAAAATGGGGAGATGTTGCTCAAAGGGTAGAAGATTATAAAGGTCCAGTTATAAGATGAATAAGTTCTGAAGATGTAATGCATGGCATAATGACTATAGTTAACAATATGGTATCACATACCTGAAAGTTGCTAAGAGAGTAGATCTCGAATATTCTCCCCGTACACAAAGAAGTGGTTACTATCTCATGTGATTGAAGTGTTAACTAACCTCACTATGGTCATCATTTCACAATATATACACGTATTAAATCATCAGGTTGTACCCCTTAAACTTACACAATGTTACATGTCGATTATATACTAATAAAAATGGGAAAAAATACATGTTAAAAAAAGTGTCATTGACTTACACTTTCTATGTATGTATAATTGGTGATAATAGATATGCTGAAATTTATTTCCTTTGTCAAATCCTTAATGAATTAACGGATCTAGTGGACAGTACTCAGTGGACAATGGCATGCCCCAAGGAAAGACAATACGGACAACACAAGCCTCCTCGTGGAATGCTATCACCGATGAAATACTGTTATCAAAAAACAGAACTTGAACCAGATCAAGTCTTTCTATTTAATTACCACTTTATTGCAAATGCAAGGGTCAGAGGATCATGTTATCACCGTGAGAACGCAGCCAGCAAAATCCAGAACCTGGACAATTAGAAGGAATGCTCAGACTTTTTCAGTACATTGTAAGGAAAACTAAAAGAAGAGAGCAAGGGGAAGACTTCTTGATCAAGAGAATCAAGTGACACATCAACCAGATGTGTGGGACTTGTTTGGATCCTGACTCAAACCAACCAACTGTAAAAAAAAAAAAAAAAAAAAAAAAAAAAAAAAAAAAAAAAAAAAAACAAACAAACCAAAAGAACAACAAAAACTATGAGACAATAAAGGACACAAGCTTGGCTGTCTCATGATATTAAGAAATTATTGTTAATTCTGTAGGCATGATAAATTATATATATAAACATTTATTTTTTTTAAGAATCCTCATGTTTTAGGGCCATGTATGGAAATCATTTTGGTTTAGGTGTCAGAATTCCTAGGATGTGTGAATGAGGTGAGGATTATAGAATGAAACAAGAACAGCCATGAGTTGATGATTGTTTGTAGCTGGAAGACAGATAAATGAGGGTCCATTGTTCTCTACTTTGGTGTAGGTTTGAAATTTTCTGTAGTTTTTTTTTTTTTTTTT